ACAGGTGGGGAAACCGAATTCACTCTCCACGACTTGCGTAGACGGTGTGGTGAGCTGTCTGACACATTTTGCATTCGCCAAGTTTGGCGAGTAAGTGCAACCAGGCGCCCACTCGCCAAACTTGGCGTACGGCATATGGCTAGTAGTGCAACTAGGCCCTATCGCAGAATCTGCAATTTTTGTGAATTTTGCTACCAGTGAGTGAGTATGGCCGCGAGGGTACGCAATTTGCGTCCACCGCAGGAGGTGAGCACAAATGCATTTTTGCTTTCACAAGAGTTTACAGGTAAAACAAGTCCAAAACCCCAACAAAAAGGGGAAACTACGCGCAGTCACAAAAATGAGTTATAATTGCACTATGGGCCAAGGTACAGTTTCGGATTGCAGTTCCGGCAATGTATACAACCCAGCTTTCTGGCCAGGTAGGGTGCCCGAAGTGCCATTGCAAACTGTATCTTGCCCCATAGTGCAATTAGTATAACTCCTTTTTGTCACTCTACTGAAGTTACCCCAAACAAACAACAATCCCTCTTCCTGTGTGACTTCACAATAACGCAAATTCTGACAGGCAGACTTACCTGTCAAATCTGGGCAGGACGGCCTTTCAGGCCGTTTTTTTTTTTTTTTTTTTTTTTTTTTTTTTTTTTTTTTAAATTTTTTTTTTTTTTTTTGGATATTCACCTTTCTTTCATGATGAAAACAAAATTCTGAATCTGCTCATTCTGTAGATAAAAGTTTGCTCAAGCAAGTATTTTTTTTTTTGAAAGGCCTCTTTTATTGTCACTATAGTATTACGGGGACCCCCCCGGGTAGCAGCCACATCTGTGCTCAAGCCTCCAACGAGGGAACATCTGTGCTCAAGCCACAGCAGGTGGGCGATACCGGCCAGGGGTCAGCCTGATGGTAGCATGAGGACCGAGCTTCTTCGATGGGCCAGTCACTGTGCCTCCCCTACGGTCCCCTCCCCCTACGAACATCAGCAGACTCAATGCCACTCGGGGGGACAACGCCACCTAGAGATATGCCAACGCAAGAATCACCAAAGCCGTAGCAAATGTCACAATTTTTTGTGATATTTGCGTCCAGTGTGAGTAGGCCCTCAGTAGTACAATCTCTCCACTACTCCACATACATCGGTAGCGGGATCTCCCTCCAGGGGCCATGTCCCACTAGCAGCGTTGAGCTACCTCAACGCCCGAATCTGGACGTGTTTGTGGAGACGTGCAGTTCAGGAAACTCAACACCATTTCTGCACACACCTCCGCAACAGCGTCCAGATTCAGGCGTTGAGGTAGCTCAACGCTGCTAGTGGGACTTGGCCCCAGGCCTCCAGCCCCCCCCCGGGTCAGACACAGGGAGATACCCCCCCCTCCCCACCCACCCACACACACACACACACACACAAGGGAGAAAAAAAGAAAGGAACAAAAGACCTGGTGTGGATATCCGTGGACTTCGCTGTAATCGCGTCCCATGCGGCATCGGAAGCGGAAGTCAGTCGAAAAAGCGTGTCGCCAGTCGAAAAAGTGTGTCGCTCCATCCACTACTCATCGCAATGCACAATAGACTAAAAAAAATACGGCGCTGTATCTTCTCTTGTTCGAGGGTCAGATTCGTTCTCATTATGTACATTTGGTGAGTAGCGGAGCTACCGGGAGGCCCAATGAGAGTACCGGTGCGGGTACGGTCCGATGTTGCGGCTGAAGAGGAAAGAAGAAGATGGTGGAGATGATGAAGAAATGATGAAGTGATGACCCTGACGTTGGTTTGACAATGATCGGATAAATCTAGCTGTGCTTTTCGTCCAAGTGCATTCACAGATAAAACGACTGCCAGTGGAGCGACTGAATGAGTAAGCGAGTAATTGCTTGCCACCAGTACGTCCGGCGATAGCGATTGATCACCGAGAGAGAAAGTGTTATTTATTTATTTATTTATTTCTGTATATGTGTGTGTGTGTGTGTGTGTGTGTGTGTGTGTGTGTGTGTGAGAGAGAGAGAGAGAGAGAGAGAGAGAGAGAGAGAGAGAGAGAGAGAGAGGAGGCGTCGAAGAGAAGGGAAAAAGGGAGAGGGTGGTGGAGTTTACATTGCGGGACAGGTGTCGTGTTGGTGTTTTGATTGGCTGCATCTTGATGATGATCGGTGTTTGATGGCGCGGATGTGAGGATACGCGAACTGTTGAGGAGGGAGGAGGGAGGAGGGAGGAGTGCAATGGAGTCTTGCTAGCAATGGATTAAGCAATTAAGTAAGTAATCATTCGATCAAAGAATGTATTGCTTGATCGATCGATTTGCTTGATGAATCATTTAATTTTGAAAGGATTGATTAGTGATGATGAAAATTGACTGAATTGTCGATTGCTCTGCAGTGTCTCGATCGTTCGACGAATGTTCGACGAATGGTCGGCGAATATTCCGCGAACGAATCAAGGAGGTGTAGGAAGGAGTTGGACGCGCGAAATAACGTGTCGCACCTAACCGCCCGTGTCACACACAAAGAGGGATTGTTCCATTATCGGCACAGCTTCAATGGAAAAGTTTATGTCGGCAATTTCCAGGGAAGCCCTCAGGAGGACGCTGGGGATTGAGCTGGGTGGTTTTTCAAGTTGAGTAAGAGAACCTGTAATACGGAAATCAATTGCTGTTGTGGTGAGCCAAGCCATCAATTGGAAGAGTGCACGTGGCACGTGGCCAATGATCCGGAAAGTGAATCTTCACTGATCGGAAAGTGAAGGTTCACTGATGGCGAAGTGAAGGTTCACTTTCTGATGGGAAAGTGAAGATTCCACTGCTTGATTAAGTGTGTTTTGATATCGAGCCGAGCCATCAATCGGAAGAGTGCACGTGGCACATGGCCAATCATCCGGAAAGTGAATCTTCACTGAACGGAAAGTGAAGGTTCACTGATGGCGAAGTGAAGGTTCACTTTCTGATGGGAAAGTGAAGATTCCACTGCTTGATTAAGTGTGTTTTGATATCGAGCCGAGCCATCGATCTGAAGAGTGCACGTGGCACGTCGCACGTGGCCAATGATCCGGACAGCGAATCTTCACTGATCGGAAAGTGAAGGTTCACTGATGGCGAAGTGAAGGTTCACTCACTGATGGGAAAGTGAAGATTCCACTGCTTTTGATTAAGTGTGTTTTGATATCGAGCCGAACCATCAATCGGTAGCTGTCTCTTATACACATCTAGATGTGTATAAGAGACAGATATAACACTGGTTTCGAACTCTCGACTACATAGTAGTTGGATGTCGGATTAACGCGGAATTGCGCGCTGGTTTCGAGGTCTCCGCCTGTGGATGGATGGCATCGCATTGACGCGAGGAATTGACCCAACACTTCTGGTTTCAAACTCTCGACTTGTAGTTGGATGTCGGATTAACGCGGAATTGCGCGCTGGTTTCCAACTCTCCGCCTGTGGATGGATGGCATCGCATTGACGCGAGGAATTGACCCAACACTTCTGGTTTCAAACTCTCGACTTGTAGTTGGATGTCGGATTAACGCGGAATTGCGCGCTGGTTTCCAACTCTCCGCCTGTGGACGGATGGCATCGGATTGAAGCGGGGAATTGACCCCAACACTGCTGGGTTCGAACTCTCGACTTCTGGATGGATGTCCGATTGGCGCGCAGGGGGGAATTTGCTGGCAGTGGTTTCAAACTCTCTCTCTCTCTCTCGACTTGTGGTTTCGAACTTGGGAACTTTCGTTTCGGACTCTTTGGATGGATGGATGTCGGATATTGACGCGGGGAATTGACCCACCCACTATGCTGGTTTCGATACTCTCTCTGACCTTCTGGATGGGTGTCGGATTGGCGCAGGGAATTTTTTTACTGTAATGGTAAAATTTACCGACTTATAAAAAAAAAAAAAAAAAAAAAAAAAAAAAAAAAAAAAAAAAAAAAAAAAAAAAACCGAGTTGGTTAACCAGAGGTTTACGATGTGTGGGTAGTGGTTTTTACCCGAGTTTGAGATTAGTGAAGCTTCAGCCTGATTCAGCATGTAGCAGTTTTTTATAAACTAGGGGTGCCGTGCGTAAGACAGTACGAACGCACGAGAGCACGGGGGGGAAGCGTCGATATCGTCTCTCGATTGGTCAAGAGACGAGATGAGTAGGTGGTTAATCAAGTAGAGATATCCCAGTTTAGGAAAAAAGAGGGGTGAGTTGTTTTGTTGCTATTTATAGAAACAATCCGGAATTTTCCTATTC